CTCTCCCCCCCCCAAAACTTCTCACCCCTACCTCCAACTTACCCACTCGGTGCAGTTGACCAAGGCGCTGCTGGTGGGTTGGAGAAGGCAGGTGCTGCGGTACGGGGCGCCGTTGAAGCTGCCGGGGGGGGGACACAAACCCAAAAAACCGTGAGGAGAGCCCAAAAAACCAGGAGGAGACCCCAAAAAACCCGGAGGAGACCCCAAAAAACCAGGAGGAGAACCTAAAAAGCCAGGAGGAGACCCCCAAAACCATGAGAAGACCCTAAAAAACCAAGAGGAGACCTCAAAAAACCATGAGGAGAACGCAAAAATCATGAGGACACCCCAAAAAACCAGGGGGACACCTCAAAAAACCATGAGGAGACCCCAAAAACTATGAGGAGACCCCCAAAAAAACATGAGAAGACCTCAAAAAACCACGAGACCCCAAAATAAAGACCCCAAAAAACCAGGAGGAGACCCCAAAAAACCAGGAGGAGACCCCAAAAAACCAGGAGGAGACCCCAAAAAACTGTGAGGAGAGCCCAAAAAACCAAGAGGAGACCCCAAAAAACCAAGAGGAGACCCCAAAAAACCATGAGGAGAGCCCAAAAAACCAAGAGGAGACCCCAAAAAACCAGGAGGCCCCAAAAAATCAGGAGGAGAACCTAAAAAGCCAGGAGGAGGCCCCAAAAAACCAGGAGGACATCCCCAAAAACCAGGAGGAGGCCTCAAAAAACCAGGAGGAGACCCCAAAAAACCAGGAGGACATCCCCAAAAACCAGGAGGAGAACCTAAAAAGCCAGGAGGTGACCCCCAAAACCATGAGAAGACCCTAAAAAACCAAGAGGAGACCTCAAAAAACCATGAGGAGAAGGCAAAAATCATGAGGAGACCCCAAAAAACCAGGGGGACACCTCAAAAAACCATGAGGAGACCCCAAAAACTATGAGGAGACCCCCAAAAAAACATGAGAAGACCTCAAAAAACCACGAGACCCCAAAAAACCAGGAGGAGAACCCAAAAAACATGATGAGACCCCCAAAAACCATGAAGAGACCCCAAAAACGATGAAGAGACCCCAAAAAACCATGAGGAGACCTCAAAAACCATAAGGAGACCTCAAAAAACCATAAGGAGACCCCAAAACCCATGAAAGGACCCCCAAAACGTGCCACGAAGAGACCACAAAAAAACTATGAGGTGAACTCAAAAACCATGAGAAGACCCCAAGAAACCATGAAGAGACCCCAAAAAACATGAGAAGACCCCCAAAACCCCTGAGGACACCCAAAAAACCTGGAGAACACCCCAAAAAACCTTGAGAACACCCCCAAAAAATATGAGGACACCCAAAAAACCATGAGGACGCCCAAAAAACCTTGAGGACACCCCAAAAAACCATGAGAAGGCCCCAAAAAACCTTGAGGAGACGCCCAAAACCCTGAGGAGCCCCCAAAAAA